ACTGCCACATCCGACAGGCCTACATCTTTTTAAAAGGAAAAGGAAGATCATCAAAATTGTTGTATTCGCGTGAAAATCGATTCAGTAGAACTGGAAATATCAAAATTTGCTTTTGAAAACGAGGCAATTTTTACAACACTATGAAATAAAAACTACTGGCTGTGTTATTCTGTATATATATAAATTGTGAAACTTCAGGACGTATTATTTTCCAACATCTTTTGACGCCTGAGCTGCAGAGGTTGAAGTTTTCACAACACAAATAGATCTAGTAATAGGGATCTCCGTAAAAATGCACAGATCTACAAAAGCCGAACCACCGAATCGACCAGTCAGCGACCCCGGCACCCCGCTCTCCCCTGCACACTGTGATAACGTGTTGTTTCGGTATCGCATTATTCAACTATTACTACGTGCGCTATGGCAATTGGGATGAACTGACTGACAAAACAATTCAGAGTTTTGTTTTTATTTGACTTTTGTATAGTGCAGATGATAGCTAAATCTATACTCCCTGTCTAGAATCGGTAGTAGTAGGCCTAGAAGATCTATGCTAGAAGCAGACAGAGAGCCTACAACTGCTAGATCTAACTTATTGCTATGCCTTTGGGCTTTGGAATTGAAATAAAGCGAATAGCACAGTTCTAGTTACTTTTAGATTCAACAACTATCTGTATTTCCAGAGTCAATAATAACAAATCTCACCATAATAATCACTTTTACTCTTATTACAATAATTAGATCCAAATATTCTAAAATCTGTTTGGCGCAAACTTAAGATTTTCTTTACTAGTAGAGTACAGAGTTTAAATTGTAAGCCTCTGCTCAGTCTTTCAGTATACATATGATTAAAATCACAGTGGCTATTTTTACGGCGAACCGTAAAGATAGCCTCCCAGTGAGTCCCAAGCTATTTTTAGGGCGATCCTCGAAAAGCGACCCGATGTCCGCCTCTCATGTACGCGACATGCCTCAATGTATTAGATCTAGGCCTATAGGGGCCCTTCAAAATATAAACTGACACCTCAGAGGGGAAAGGGTGTCTTTGGTTTCTGTAAGAAAAGTGTAAGATTGGGTGGCTAGGTTAACCAAATACATGTATGACACTTCTGTGAGATGAACGCTTTGCTCATGACTGGGAAGAAAATGTAAAGGCCTCCAGGGCTATTTTTACGGCGGTCACAAACTGATGACGTAGAACACGTTTTTCAACCGACTTGAGTTCACTTGAGTTCCAAAATGGCAGAGGGTAGGTCGATACACGTTGGGACGGAATTTGAAAGTTTTAAAGCCCTAGAAGCTGCCATCAAACAGTTTGAACAAAGTAATTTTGTGCAGCTGTATATTAGGAGCTCAAGGACAGTAGATTCAGCAAAGAAGAGGGCCCCAAAACGTACCTTTGCAGACAGTTTACCGAAGGCACAATGCAACCACCCCTAAGGGCAACAAGTATGCCAAGTGCCATCAAGATACACCTGTAATCTTCAGAGGAGTTTCGAAAAATGTGTCAAAATTTAAAAAATCAAATATTTTGGAAAAAAAATGAGACACCTCTCTAATTAGTGAAGATACAATAACAATGAAGAAGAAAAAATGTTGGGCATCCAACTAA